TACCTCTCTCTCTCTCTCGTTTTCCCATATGTATAGTACTACTAATATGTGGGTAGCCGTTTTGATAATATGTACAATTATATGATAATTAATATGTCAAATACTACTGGAAAGAAATTATTTCTAAATGCAATTCAAGAGGTTGGATCACAAACAACTAATCATCAAGTCACAGGAAGTAATTCTAAATAGTGCAGTGTAACGTTCTGGGGCCGAATCTCCTTCCCAAGATGTTCTTTTAATATATTTTTCACAAATACATAAACCATATGTGAACGTGATTAATAAACTTGACCAATATAGTTTTCTCAGGTATCTTGTAAATCAATGCTTATAGGTTAAAAGGGAACATGCTGAAAATTTGCTCTCTATTTTAAATAGGAGCCAGTCTCTATTCTTTTCGGTAAGTTACTTGATCAAAAAATTTGAATCCAATACTACCATGAAATAGAAGATATAAACTACCTACAAAGACACTCATATTTCAAATCGCATATTTTCCTTTTCTTTTTAGTAATTAAAATTTTGATCAGAAAAAAGCTTTCCTCAATTCAGTTTGCAGTTCAAAATGAAGACAACCCCCTAGAACTACACCCAAGATAAACAGATGCGAACATCACTTCAACCAACTAGAACTCCAACATAAACATCAAACATAGAAAGTCCCAAAGTTTAAAGCATAATATACGCACTAGTCCACATGAAACATTAAGGTTTGAATTTATAAAACACAAAGCAGATAGCAGAATCTAAAAATCAATTCCTAAAAGAAAAGCGAAGGTATATAATGTACTCACCGTATGAAATGGAACATTATCCTTGCCCATAAACTGAAACAACTCAACATTTTCAGGATCCTTCCACCATTTAGCCCACTCTGATGTATAGCTTGAAGTTATTGCCACATATCCGATTGGTGCATCAAACCACACATAGAAAACCTGAACATAGCTTATTGGAGTGAAAGTCCACATTTCAGAGTAATACATTTAGAATAAAAAAATCCAAAATGTCTATTTCAAGCCACTTTAAGCACACAAGCATGCCATATTGAACCAACAAGAAATGGAACTAAGAAATACACAAAAACAATGCCATACCTTGTCTTTGAATTTTTCATGAGGGACAGGAACACCCCATTTCAGATCTCTCGTGATGCAACGGGGCTTCAATCCTTCCTTTAGCCAAGAATTCGTAGTCTGGATTGCGTTTTGGCTCCAAGATCCAGCCACTGATGTAGTCTTGACATACTCTTCTAACTTATCTTTCAGTAATGGAAGTTCTAGAAATAAATGGTTAGTATCGCGACTGCGAGGGGAGCTGCGGCAGACCTACAAGGGCAAAAAAGACCAAAGATGGAAGATGGCAACTCAAAACATTTTCTGCACACTGATTTAAGATAAAAAAAAAAAGAAAAAGCACTCAAGAAGCAAACAAATTAGATCAGGAGGGACAAGAAAGAGAGAGGGAGAGAGAGAGTTTTGACGAAAATGTGGGTCAAATGTGCAAAATTGAACCTTGCATCTGGGATCTATCAGTTCGTTCGGATTTAACAACTTCCCACATTTTTCACACTGATCACCACGAGCATCTTCATAACCACATCCAGGAGTAGGGCATGCTCCTTCCACAAGTCTGTCAGCCAGAAATCGCTGGCATGTATCACAATAGAGCTGCATTCGAGTAATTGAGAATCAAAATTAAAGAGAAACACTAAATTGTTTGCAATAATCAATCTATATACAAAGTTTTAAACACAAACTCTAATGGTAGTCGCAAAATTGGTAACACACCTGTTGCATTGTGTTTTCGGAAAGCCAATTATTCTCCAACAGTTTGTGGAATATCGCATGGCTAATTTCAGTGTTATCAGGACAAGATGTACGTCCAAACTTGTCAAAGCTTATATCAAACCATTCATAGATCTCATTGTGGATTGCATAATACCTACAAAAAATTTTTAAATAGAATTAATAAGACTCTAAGGGGAGTACTTGTCTTCAAGCTCATGAAACCAAATAGGATCTATATGCAGCAATCTTCATAGGTTTTATAATGCTATGGCATAATAATGGATTAATTCCTATGTCTGTGAAGGATGGTAAGAATTACGGGCAATTTTCTCACGAATCCACATGAACGAAAGAATAGAAATTGCTATTTGTCAATATTTTTTCCGTTTCTATGGACATTTTAGACAACCTTAAAATGTAAGTAAATTTTGTTCACATAAAGAAGAGGATACAATGTTTAATAGGCGCCCCAATTTTATTCTTTTTCTTTTTTTTCCTTGGAAATTGAGATATTTAATATAATGAATGAGACTACACCAAATCCTCATCAATCAAATAGAAATTATAGCTGACATACCCAAAAGCCGACCCATGACTCCAGTAAACTATCAGGATCATTATGCAAATTTTTTTTTGAAAGCATTATTTGTGATATTTGCAATAATGATGCCTAAATTACTTTAAAAGCCCAAATTATTACACATGGCCCATAGTTGTTTCGTGTGGTGAGATATGACATATTCAAGGATCTTGGTGCCAAAAATGTGTAGGAAATGCTTGTGGGAGAGGGAATAAAAGCAATCAAAAGAGAGTATTGTTAAGGAATCATGCAGGAGTCACAAGAGAGAGTTTTGTTGAAGGAAGCACTAGGCAAGTAAAAGAGGTTCCGGAAATCAAGAGAGGCATCACTATGACATCATGCATTCATGAATTAGGATTGACAGCTTTGCATCTAAAGGCCACCCTAGCATACTCCTCAACCTGTTAGTGCTTGAAACCTGCTAAGGAATTCATGCTATAAAGATGCAATAACTGGAGAGAAAAACCATAACAATGGCACTGTATGCAGATCATAGCAAACCCTTCACAGTAACATTGTGAAATTATTTGTTCTTTTACTAAATACAGCCTCAGCCTAAGGATCTCAAACACACCCTTTCCTATGACGAGATACTATCATAAGATTATTCATACATGGATAGTTCTTTCGTGAATGGCATGCACATGTCACCAATCAAATTATAGAAGCCATATTATTAATTGAAATAGAAAAATCAAATGACTAATTTCTTTGGACTATTTTAGGAACTCTCATACATGAAGACTCAAAGATGATGTCAATGCATCTAAAAAAACTATGAGAAGAGTCCAAAATCAAGATATGCCAGAACTACAGGTGCTCAAGAACCTTAGTCTGCTCTCCAATATGATTGAGAATATAAACGCCAAATAAAATATTAGGTTCTACCAATTGATAATGGCCATATTGTAGCTTCAAACATGGGCAGCATGAATCTCACTAATTAGACAATCACTAGTGAGACTAAACATAAGCAAGTATGCAACGGTTTAATAATTTTTCCAAATTTAACAACTGAATATGAAGCTCATGGAGCTTAGCATTCTTTGTGAGCATGAAGAATATGCTCCCTATTGTGTTAGAACAAGATATCAAATATTAATGGTCACGGATGCAATGCAAAACGACGCTGCAGTAGGATTCAAAACCAAGCTTGGATGAAGAAGCCCTAACTGTTCTCCATATGCTAAATATCAAAACCCATGAGACGGATAGATATTAATGGGGAAAGCATAATGGTAGACCAAATAGTAGACTAATTAGTCCATGAGGCATGAATCGCAGAGTTAAATATGTGTCCCAAAACACTTTCTTTATCCATAACCAACAAATTTCACATAAATTTAGTTCATCCTCCATTTTCCCTCATAAATAAACACTTCCACTGAACTTACATGACATGAGACACACAATAGCTCGATTTTTTCCATTTCATTTTTTTTTCCCCCCTTTTTTGTATGTTTTTTCTCTCCCTTTCTTCTCAAAACCCACCTTTCATTCTTGTCTTCCATAAATGCACCAGAAGCTCCTATTCAACAAAGATTCGGCCTCAGTTTTGTTAAAGCTTTCATTCCAAAGGATAAAAGACCTTTCTAGTTTTTTCTCTCCAAACTTCTAATCGATTGGCACTGCCAATTTTCTCATTCATTTACGAATTCCAAGAATTTTAAAAATATAGGCATACATATCTGCAAATAATGACTAATACATGCAACCAATAATTTTTATATATAAAAAAAAAAAGCAACAATTATGGCGGGCCAACATAGAGAAAAAAGTCGCAATCGACTCCAAGTTCATACAAACCCCACCATTAAAAACCCTAAATTCCCTTAGGAACCCAGAAAACAAGTGAAAAAGAAAGTGACAGGACTATATAGAGAAACTGAAACAATGGTAAGGAGAGTGAATATTAAGGTAACAATCAAATCAATATTAATAATAAATTAGTAATAAGGTAGATTAGAAAGAACCCACTTGTCACAAATCTCCTGAGGAGTGCAATTCTCTTCAAGGGCCTTGGTCTCAGTAGCTGTTCCGTACTCATCAGTTCCACACATGTATATCGTGTTGTACCCACGAAGACGGGAATACCGAGCAAAAACATCAGCGCTCAATACACCTGAAACAACAATGAATTTACACCATTCCCACATGCCTCAATTTCACAGAAAGATCAATTATAGCGAGAGAGAGAGCAAAAAGGAAAAAACCCGGTAAATCCCGTGTGCTTTAAGCACGGAGAGAGAGAAGAAAACCCACCAAACCCAGATGCCTCAAAATCAGAGAGAGAGAGAGAGAGAGAGAGAGAGAGAGAGAGAGTAGTAGAACGAAAGAAGAGAAGAAGAGTAGTAGTAACGTACACACGACGACTAATAGTGTCGACGAGGTAGGTACGGGTACGTTACGTAACGTAGTAGGTAG